CGCGCTGTTCAATCCACCGCAGTGTTAGCATGAATATCATTCCTACTTCCTACTCTGTCGTAGCTTAACGTACAGCTGCCTTGGACACGGGCACGACCACCGTCTTCTTGACGTTATGCTGTTTGTGGCTCTGCTTCTTAGGTTTCTTCACTTGCGTCTTCTTTAACTGCTCCTTAACCCCCTTCTTCTTGTCGGACGCTGTGCCCTTAGGCTTCTCCTTCTTCGCCTTCTGGATCAGCGTGTCTGTACAGAGGAGTGGGTGAGAGAGATCGCATATACAGGGCAGACTGAGGAGCGCCTACCGAGAGGAAGGGCCAGCTTCTCCTCCGGGGAGATACCGAGCGAGAAGGTTCCGGGTGTCGCCATATTTCGACAGGAGCCTTCAAATGAGTTTTTGTATGGAAGATTTGCGGTGAGATTAGTACTGAAATACGTTAGCTTAACCTCGTACTTATGTGGGATCCCGAATTAGAATTTCTGATGAGATGGCTTTGTCTGCATTTGAGGGACGCCTAACGAAGTCGAAGCTGCTTCTTGAAGACTGGCGCAGCCACGCGGTTCCAGTTCTCCGGCCAATGCTCCACCGTCTTTAGGGATGCTCTCAGACGGTTCAGTTGTGAAGTGTCCGTCGGGTAGCCCCTGAGGAGATCGTAGAGCTGGGTTGATAGCTGCTCCGAAGAGTCGAACACCAATCCATTCCTACACAAAACGTTAGGTAGCGCTCAGCTCACAGTCCTAAACGCAGGATCCAAAGTGAGAGCGTTGGATAAACGTACTTGTCATGTTTGACGAGCTCGTCCAGACACTTGAATCCGATGGCACACACTGGGAGTCCACAGCCAAACATGTCGAGAACCTTCATGGGCAGATCCAGACCGGAGGAGGACGTGTGTAAGCACACACCCAGGTCGGCGCTTCCCAAGACTAAAGGGTAGTCGCTTGCCTCGAGCCACCTAGGCAGGGGGATAGAAATTCGTCAGATAAAGCCATCGAGATTATAAACCAAAGCATTTTCGTACATTGTGGCAATCCGAATGCGCTTGAAGGCGAGCTGTCGGATCTTTTCGAGATACATTTCCTTCTGAGGCCCCTTGCCCGTTACCACTACGAGCAAGTTCGGAAACTCTGATACGCTGAGTGACGACGTGCGCTTATCCAAAAGCTCCAGTGCTGTCAAGAGAATACCAAAGTCTTCGTCTGCAGTCCAGCTCGTAGAGCTAATGATCATAGCTGGTCTGTTTTCACGAGGTTGAATGATGGACTTGCCCTTCTTCCCATTAAGTCCACGAGTTTTCCGTGTAAGGAGAGTTTCTTCAAGATTAACCGAGTTTTCGCCCCATGTCACCAACTGCATCATAAAGCGTACAGTTCAGTCAGCTAGTAGCGAGAATACTGCAACATAAAAAATAGCACGAACGTCGTTGCAATGCTCCAGTTGATCGCCAACACGAGAAAACAGTTCATGCTGCGTGTCGAGCGGAGTGGGTTTAAAGAAGAGCGGCGGCTTGTCATGCAACACGGTAGCTTCAATCTGCCACGTGTCTCTCAGCCATGTCTGCATCACTCGCGTGACACACAAATTCGCATCAGCCTTGCGACCGAACACGCGCTCGATCCACTTGGCAATCTATTCACAGCCCACACTATCAGCTCCCAGCAATTCAGTATTTCAACCGCAGCTCATCGCCATCTCACCTTGACCAATGGATGTCCATTGCTAAGAGATAACGCCAGTAAACTGTAGCCCAGATTATGCCAGTCGATCACGAACTTGGCGCCTTTTAGTCGGCAGCAGAGCCACACCACCACGAACGTCGGGATTCTGCAGCGCAAAACGTCCACAATGGCCCACAAGGACCATCATCCTATTAATTAACCGAGGGTAGTGATTTACTTGAGCAAGCCGCGACACTTACGTCGGCGGATTCTGCAGCAGAACGAGGTCAATGCTGCCGGCCGAGACGAGCAGCAGCCAGAGCAGCTGTAGCAGTTGAAGCAAGACCTTCACGGGCGCCAGCAAGAGGAACAGTTTGCGCGGAAGGCGTTGCAAGTGTGGAGTGAAGGTCAGTAGCTCGATGTTGCTCTGACGAGCTACATCGGGCACGCAGTTCTCACCCGCGTAGCCCAAGAGGGTCACACGCTGGCTTGGGGACATGCGGGCCAGCGATAGTGCGTGGTATTGCATGCGCGGACTGCGACCCACATCACCCAGCACCATCACGACAGCATGGCGCGCGCGATTGCGCCGAGGAACATGAGCCTTCTTGGACGGGCGACGTCGCATTGTCGACCCGGTTGCTCGTCAAGAAACGCTGTCAAGCAGTGTGTGACGTGGCGTAATAGCCATTTTCGACCAATTAAATGTGACCTTGAAGTGATATGGCTACACTTTTAGATTTAGTTTTAGAGTTTTTACAGAAA